TTTTTTTTTTTTGCTAGTTTTAAACTCCACTAATCAAATTTTACACTTACGATTAAAATTAAATAATAATATAATAGCATATCATTTTTTCATTATATACAAATATTTTTGAGTAAAATTATTTTTTTAAATGTAAGTAAAGTTCAATTCATTTGAGTTAAACACCATAATATTGTGATTTATTTCTATGAGTATACTAATAATATTTTAAATTCAACTAGTGCGGTGCCAATTTTAATACACTGTTAGCTCCTATTTACATATCAATATATATATATATAATATATATATCGGATATCAATAGAAATAGGAGTTAATAGTTATAAATTAATATATATTTCAAAAAATAACGTCATAATACTTAATAATGATCATTTAAAATTTACAAATTTTAAGAAAACTATAATATGAATAAAATAATACATAAAAGATTAATTAACATGTATTCACATACAATAAATCCATGGTGAATCATTCATAAATAGTACCTACCTAAATTATTGGAGATCTAAAATAATTTAGGTTATTATGTACTGATTTAAATTTAAAATTATGCATTTGTTTATTGCTTGTAAAGTTCTAACGCAGATTCTAAATAATATATAATGATACTATGTTTATTCATATTTTTATGAATTATGCATGTACATGAAACAATGAACGGCGAATAAAAAAAAAAAAAACAATCAACACGTGTCGCTTCTTATTTTTTTCGATTGTATCTCACCCATATTATATTTAAGTTCAAAATTATAGTTATTTTAAGTATTCAGAACTAAGTCTGCATAATATTAATCAATTATACATTAATAAAATTAAAATTTTTCTTTGGAATATAATAATATATAGATTAAACCTTTGCAGTATTTTTTACTTAAGAGCTAGCTTTTGAATTATTACCCGTGTAGGTTAGGTTAGAAACCTTTGTATTTCGCCTAAATCGGACCGTAGAAACGTTCATGTTTGTCGAACCGTTCAAAGTCCATGTCATTTCAGTCGGTCCATTGTTTGGTAGAGTAAAACGAAAACATATGAACCAAAATTCCCTAAAAAGCGTATTTAAAATAGAGGAATTCAGAAATTTCCGACCCTCCATTATTATACCCTGCAAAATGCTTTTTGAAATAAATTCAACATTTGAATAATTTATAGCGTTTCTAAACTTAGATATACACTTAGTTTATCATATACCAGGGGTTATCTATTTAATTTGAGACACTTTTTATTTTCAGAAAGCTCTTACGTCTTGGAAAATAATATGTTTACATATATTTTTTAGTTTTAACAAAACAACTTCTTGAGATAAAAAAATCATACGTTTAGCTTCTTTATTATTATACCTAATTCTTAGGTCTTTTTTTTGTATTTTTGAATGACATTTTTTAAATACATTTTCTACAGCAAATATTATCCAAAATATTTCGATTTAAATAAATAAAATTTTAGACACTTAATTTTTTAGTTATTATTTATGTTTATTTCAAGCTTAGATGAACGAAGTAGTGGATAAACATTTTTTGAATATCTATTCTGAATCACTCAATTCTGTTCATCACAACTTGTAATACTTATGGATTATAAAAAACGATTTTTATGTTACCACGTGTTATATAATTTAAAATTTGTATATAATATAGATTTTAAAATTTRATATTATTGTACGAAAACAATAGTATTTGTTTCATACGTTGTTAAATAATACCTTTCAGTGAGATTCAGTGTAAAAGTTTTAATAAACCACTTTATGAAATCAAAACTTTTCCGTTCCCGACGCGATGTAATTTAATAAAACTCAGCGTGCGTCAAAATATTGACACTAACAAAAATACCTAAGCAGCTTAATAATTTAATTAATACTATATCAATCTAGGCCATGATTCATGAATATATATGTATAACTGTATAATAAATAATATAATGTTTGAAAATTAGATACACGAATATGAATTGTTTTTAATCGTAATCTTTGAAACATCATAAAAATGTGTTTATAGAAGACGAAAAAGAATTTAAATTATAATTAAATTGAAAATATTATTTGTTTTATTAACACTCAATGGTAATGTAACAGTTAGATAGGTACATACTTTTGGTGGTGCACTATTCGAGTACTCCAAAGGAGGTACAATCCTTTTATTTTCACTCAGATTTCTGTGTTTTAAAATTCTAGGCGTGTACAGCTGTTTGTACTGATCTTCATTTAGCTTTGGTATCATGGTAAACTCAGGTTCAACTCTTTAATAAAAACATATTTTTTAAATTTTAATTGTAAACATGAAACTGAAAAATGAAAAATGTCAATAAACCATTAAAAAGACGTCGCCTCCGAATGTGTTGTCTCCGTCTTACGCACGTACTTCATAAAAAGTTTTCGTTGGCTAGTTCCAATAGTGCGCTGTTAGATTTGGTATTAGAGTGAATTGACCCATCATCAAACTTTTAGATAATAACATTAATTAACTATCTTTTGTTGGTTTTTTACGATATTTTAATTTTTAAATGAGTTATGCGCATTTTAAAATATTTATACTTTACATACTCATAACTCAATTAAAATTTAAAATATTGTAAAAAGCCAACGAGAGAAYACAGATAATTTTCTTGCCTAAAAGTTTGATAATGAGTCAATTTACTCTAATATCAAATCTAACAGTACACTAATTCACAATTGAAACAATTGAACGAAAATCTGCGTGAGTAAGACGAACACAACACATATGAGTCGACATCCTCTTAATATAATACAAAAGACACACATGTGATAGATATGCTATTTCGGTCTTATATGCGGATTTGGATATATAGTAGGTAAGTTCTATTGCCTATCCCTTAGAACTCACCATATAAAAGTCAAACAAATGCATATGAATTGGCTTTTGTTTACAAAACGTCTACACTTTTTGATTTGAAGTTAATATAGATTCATGATACGTGTATTATGTATAATTAAAAAATATATCCTAATAAGTAATAATATTGTGTGAAGTGAGTCTATGCAGTCTGCATTGAAAATAAAAATAAAGTATTTGTGGGACATAATATTATTAATAAACATTTACAATTTTAATACTTACTGATGGACATTGGATTTGGGTATGTGTTCCGGCCAATAAAATGATTTCTTATACGTCGTCTTGTACATTGCGATTTCTAAAAATGATAAAAACTAAGCTTGTTTAATTAATATTTTTTTCACAATTTTTAATATTTATTATTCGTGTTAATTTATAACTATGGTATGTTTCATGTATAATTGTTTATATATAATCATACAGCTATAATATACATTTGTACAATAATTTTTACTATTTGCATATAAATTACATATTGGCTACTATAATACGATAATATCAATAAATAAAATAAAATTTGTGTATTTAAAAAAAAGATTTTTTAGTCATTATAAAAAAAATTCGCAGATTATTTTTCAAATATAATTTTAAATGTCCATATTATGTACATATTATTAAAGAAACAAGTACAATTAGTGAGGAGTCTGGGGAGTAAAAAAAATCCTAAAATACAACTYAGATAAATACTTAACTATTTAAGAAAAGGTTATTATAATTATGAAAATAATTTCTCGGAGAGAAACATCTCACCTACGTCAACCACACAATTTCTAGCCATTTTGGACCTTTTAAAGGTAAATATATTCTCATCAGATCTTAAAAATAGATTCAAACATAATTAATAGTGGTATTCTCCTCATGTCTTAACTGCTTATACTCTTTCAGTAGACCCTACACAACATATTATAATATGACACTCTCTGAAATCCTATATATATATATATATATTATTAACAATTTACGTAATCCTTTATTATACATTATATTCAACATATTATACTGCTGGATTTTCTCACTCTAGCACTACTAGCTTTTTAGCCACTTTTTCTGACAATACAGTGTAGATAACTGTTTTTAATGCCTACTGGTATGAAATTTACCTCAGAAAATCTTCAAAATCTACAAGAATATTAAAATTAACGGAGAATAAAATCATCGATAATAAATATTCTTAATTAAGTTACTTTTGTTTTACTCTCTTTCCTCTATATTATATTAAATAACCAACAAATATCAATTAAGAACTTGATAAAATGCATTAAACTCTTGCTAAGAGAGTAATCTTGGATACTTAAAACAACTATGGAGAGTATATTTTAATTTCAGAATGGATAAACAAAGGTGACTCCCTATAGAAAGTAAAATTCAAATTTATAAGCTATTTATTTGTCATTCGTTGGCCTATGGGCCATATTATCCAACTTTTAATGTATAACAATACATTTAACAAAGAATTATACCAATCTATAGATATTAATATTCTAAGTATTCTTTGATATTCAATCACTACTCCAAGACCTTAACGTTTAATAATTGTTATCTATAATGTCGCATACGATTATAATGAAAAATTTCACAAACACGTTCGTAATCAGACAAACCCTGTTATTGTGTGTACATAATATAGTAAAACTACACTAAACATTCTTGTCCACACGAGTTTCTTTTGTAGTTCTATATTAGTTTTAGTTTTAAAATGATTGTTCTGCTTCAGCAGTCCAGTCACAGTAATTGTAGACATTGTAATACAAATAACGCAAGCACTTAAAACGTTTAGAAAACTACTTGAAAAATCCTCCTAATCGTCTTAAATATCTATCGACGTTATATTTTCTATATTTAAAAAAAAAAATCAAAATGAAACTTTGAGTTTGTCTCTTTTAAGTAGATAGTTACTAGTTTTACTGGACACTCCCTCTACTGCGTGACTAATATTGTTTATTTTTTCACCTGATTTATTACACTTATTTTGCATTTTCTATGATCATAATGAAACAAAAATATTATATTAAAAGTATTATAATATTATTGTATTTAGAGATATTTGGTCTGTAAAATATCAATGTATACCTAGATTTAGAGTTGGTTTGTTGTAGACGCACAACAATAAATATTAGTAGTAATGATTTATCAAAGAAATAAAATATTAAATCTTAAAACAATGAATGATAATATTAAAAAAATATATTACTATTGTTAGGTAATTTAATGAATTTCACACATAATAATAGAGGAATAACAAGCATGAAATATTATTTTGCGTTTAAGAGAGATTATTTGTTTAGTTTATTTAATACAAAATATTACTATTGTATGTAGTTTATTATAATTATGAAATGTAATTTATCCTTGTATGTCTTCTCSAGATATTCGTAAAATATCATATTATGTTGTATAATAATATATATGTTTTAAGAAAAATAGCTGAACCCGCGCACTTCAGGCTCGTTAAAAACCCTACCTCTTATATTTCTCAAAATGTATGTTAAATTCGTATCCTTCTGTGATTATGCTAGTAGTATATTTTGAATTTTCATACATAATATAGATACATAACGATTATAACGATTAAAATATAAGCTGTATTACCCGTCTTAAAAAAAATAAGATTTTTGAATAATTATATGTATATAATATATAATATTAAATAACAGTAGTGTATTTARTATTTACGGAGAATATGGTTGATAGATCCTCCCGTAGTCCCTTATTTGTTACTAATTTATAATATTGTGATTTCGATAGTAAGTGAACTACCCCCTCACCTTAGGGAAATTAAATGTTTGYTTACATAAATTCCTCCCTTGACAAAATCCTAAATACGCCACTGATAAATAAATATGTGACTTGGAGGCACCAGGTCGTACGCTCAACTGTGGTAACGCTCTCAGTGTACGTACCGGCCGGTGCTGCTAACACCTGGATAGGTGACCTCCCGGGTTCTTAGCAACAAATCCTTTCCACACACACATTACGTGTTCTAAACCAACCGTTTCCAAAACAAACAGCTAATCAGAGGTGGAAACTAATTTTAATTATGGGGGGGGGGGGGTAAAACAAAAGTATTAACCCACTTATTAATAAAATTTTCAGTATTCTCACATAATACAATAATTATACTTACTCGTACTAATAACAATCTTGCTCTAAAATTGAAAACATAAATTCTAATGAATAATAATACATTTATCAAATTAAAATAGAAAATATAATTTACTTTGTTATATAATATGTGAATGTAGCCACTATATCACCGAGTTAACAACTCTTAATTAAATATATAATGAAAAAAAATACRGCAAAAAAACTATTTACAATATGGCAAACTTTATACTTCCAATAACTTATATTAATAATTCATTTTTTGAAATTTTTCTCTTTTGACAAATCGTCTACATACCGATTACATGCGTTAAAAAATGAATCATGAAAATCGGTCCAGTAGAACTTTAGATATAACTGTCATAAGAAATCACCGAACGTTTTAATAATATATCTAAAGATAGAGATACTATTTTATACACATATTATTATGTCAAACGCTCTACTTACGTTGATGTATAATATGTTAAACTAAAAACAAACCTAGTACATTGTATATACAATACATGACAATAATAATAATAACATACTATTATTATGTGTATAKGTGTATAAATACATACTACATACATGGTTATCATGCATATTTTACTTAATATTATGTTATACGTACAACATGAATGACTCATGTGTATAAGACATTTTTAGAATTTAAGCCAAACGATGAAGTTATTAGTTTTACAGTAATGTCTGATGATGTTTTTTCTTCTCTGAAAATAAAACTGTTGAATTTTAATATAATTCTTGGTATCGATCTTTTCACATGACGTATTTAAAACTGGTCGACCGGAAATTAAATTTAGATAGAGCATACACTACCGATTTGTCAAAATAATAAAATTATTTTTTATTTTTTGTTGAAAACTCATTCGTGTATACCTTTTGTGATTATTTAATTTACATTTTCTATTCATTATTTATTCATACTTTTATAAGTCGAAAATTGTGCTTATAGTGTTCAGTTGTTTAAATATTGAATATTATAAGCTCCTAATATTATAACAAGAAAACAAGATTTTATTTTTCCACAAATTATAGTTACAATGAATTGAATGTTATCATAGTTATTATTTTATTTATTTATTTATTTATTTTTTTATCAAAGATCTTATAACAATACATATTAATTGAATTTACCATTATACATTAAAAATTAAAAAATTAAAAATATATCCGACAGTTCTAGTATTGAACTTAATGATTCTCAATTTAGAAATTGATTATATAATAAATTAGAACATGTCTGAGCAATAAATATAAAATTAATTTTGTTTGAATAAAACACAATATTTTCTACTAAATTGTTTAAGTGAAATAAATTCATTAAATTTAAATTTTAAATTAAATATCAATTAAATTAATTAACAACAAGACTCAAGTAACTAAAAAAAAAAGTGTCATATATATATATATTTGTACTTAGTGACTAGTGAGTTAGTATATTGAACAAATTTTTTATAATATTTTCAATTTTGTTTACTTATCGATTTATAGTAATATGTAAGTACCTATATTGTATAATGATGGTTATAAAATATTATATATCGTATTTAATAATTAATCAAATATCATATTAGAAAGTAAAAAAAAAAGTTCTTGTTTATCAAACATTTATGAGTTCTAAGTATCTAGATATAAATGTAAATATAAGTATATAACATGTAATATAAATGTATTATAACATCAATATTTTGAACGATTGTAAACTCGGTTTAGTTTTTTTGTAGGTAATTATGATTATGAACTAGGCCCGAATAAAAATAACATGCTCAGATCTTCTCATAATAATTTATAAAAGTTATCTTATAATATTTTTGAAATATCTACAGTTAGTATTACCCAGAAGACACCACGAAGAGTATTCTGATTATCTTTCAAAATGTATCATAATATACCGATATATCTAAACTAAAAAATAATTAATAATTATGTTTTATACAAGAACTATTTATTAAGTTTATTAGGTCGACATTTTTTTATGGCGATCGATTCATCTGTAGAATTGTCAAAAGTTGACATACTGCTCTCTATCAATAAAATTCATCTTCAGTTTATACCTACAATTTATGCGCACGTAAACTCGTTCGAGTTGCCTCTCCTATTATACTTATTATTATAGTGAAACTCCATTGATAACGATACAAATCCTTTTTTTTATTTAACACTCACGAAGATCTCAATTGTGTTTTAATGATT